GAAATGAGTGCCATATTCGTAATGAGCATCCCCAAATACCTCGAAAAGGATACCCATATAGCATATTTTGAAAAATCGTGTCCGCCATCTTGTATTTACAAATAAGTGCTATATTCGTTTTTCATCGACAAAACCGAGCACATCTGTAGGCGCCTGATCGACAATGTCGGGCAAATCTGTAGGCACCTTTAACTTAATGATGAGTTAAGCAAGATACAATTTCCCCACTTTTGAGGGAAATGTTATTCCATGGCATCATTATTTGTATATTTGTGTGCGTGCCGACGAGCGTAGTTACAAGTTGCTTACGCCTACATGAATTTGGTTTTTGCCTCACTTGTGACAGTTCGTTTGATATGAAACTATCATTCTATGCGTTATTATTCTAAGTGTTTATTCTTATTTGTTGTAAAGTACAAAAAATATTTAACTGTAGTTCCGGCACGCTATGATGGCCGTTTTGACGTTTGTCCGCTCATCAAGTTTCGTATTAATTCATAAGTACGTTGAAGGAGCTAATTGATTTACATAGTTGTCAATAATGGCGTGCATTAAAATTAGTTTATTGAAATTCGAAATTTAAAAAAATGAAATCTAATACGATCATCACCTATAGAATCGCTGTCCAGCACAACTTCTACCTCTCCGGCAAACTCGCGTCAAAGCTCAATGCAAAACCAAGCAATTTCGAATTGTCGATATATTAAGTGAATATTTTTATTTTCATTTTATTAAAACTTTTAATCAGCAATTACTCATAAATGACACCTAGATAATGCCTATTCACTCTCGCCTTGAAAAGGTCCAAGTTATAAGCGTCTCGCATTTGATTATATTTTTTTCGATAATGACCTCACTATTGTAACCTGTCAAAACGGCCGTGCCGGTACGTAATGTTTACAAAATATGACCACCTTAGAATAATAACGCATAGAATGATAGTTTCATATCATACGAACTGTCACAAGTGAGGCAAAAATCAAATTCATGTAGGCTAGTTTTAGTAGTAGGTTAATTTTCGGTTTTAGTGAATATTTATATAAAAATAAAAGTTGAAACGCGTTACTTCCTTGTGGAATGTGATGTTAGTATCTATTTTATGTTTGTCTGACGTATTTTTACACTCATTTACCGCATATTTCGCCATTTTTAGCTAAAATCCTTGATCTGTTCGCGGTGCAACTTGACCTTGAGCACTGAAGGCCCGCCCGCTCGTGTAGGCCCTTTTGACGCGCTTCAATTTGCCCCACTGAGCGTGTGCGGACTAGGTTTCTATGCGTTATTATTCTAAGATGACCACATGCTTACTACTTACAAGTGAAACTATTTATTATAATAACCAAGTTAATTGTGACTAGTGATGTTAAGCTAAACTTTTTCCATAATAATTAGTATTTAAATAATACTTTTTTTGGATGTACTGCGTACTCCTCTGTGTCTGAGTCATAGGCCCATATGACATGTTGTGTTATTAGTTTTTAGGTTTCTTTTTTTTAAATCGCAAAAAATTTAACCCTCTAAATTTTTAAAAGTATGTGTCAGCCCATAAGTGTTATAAGTGCAACTATTTTTCTATAAATCGCGTATATTATTTGTTTTTTTCAAACAAACCAACGATTGGGTCTTCTACAGGCGAGGGCCTCTGGTCATGGCTGACTCCAACTTAGATCCGAAAAAAAGTGTAATTTCGTCCAGCAATGTCCAAAGTCCAGCAATCGCGAAAACTAAATAAAAAACATATATATTTTTATCAGTAGACTTAGAATCTCACATATTCAATTACTATGTCGTCCCCGACACTGTACGATAACTTGGAGGTTTAATCCCAAATCATTGTTTATTTTAAGAGCGTTGCTTTATATGGTTGCTTTATAGGGGAGCATAAAACTTATTGCAAAATGTCTTAACGTACGTAACGTATCGATTTTTCAAAATTACATTGTATTTATCAATTTTATTATATATTTTAAGCGAAAGGTTCATCCAGGGAAGTACTGCCACCTTATCTATTCCTGCTGCCAAGCAGTAATGTCAGCATTAATGTGTTCAGGTTTTGAAGGGTAAGGGTGCTGGTGAAATTACAGGCACATGGAACTTGTCAGCTTCTGTCTCAGGGTGACGGGCGCAGTCTCAGATCTTAGTGATTTAAAGCCTTGAGTGGCACTGCCACTGTTCACGACTTGTTCGTCCCGCCACTTCATATTATGAAAAAAATCAATTGAAAAAAGTATATAAAACGTTATATACTATTTTTAGAAGATTTCTTTGTTTGCTTGTTCTGTTTTCAAATACATTGTTATTATACAATCATCAGCTTAACGAAATTTTATTTAATTTCTTAAGCATAAGATATTAATTTGCGTTTTACAACTTATTCCTCAAGTCTGC